GAGATGGACAGCCAAATGCTTTTGCTGCAGCGATAACATTTCAGAAATTATTTTCATTCACTGTTGCACAAAATGCAATGCAAAGTTATATACCAAATTTTCCTCTTGTCGTGTGCCTTTCCAGTTTTGTTCTTTCTCCATTGTTGTGGCTACAAACCCTCATGAAGTTACTTGCAAGATCCAGCTTGACCAGACAGCCTCCTTTTTCAGGAATTTCCAGGATGGATTTCAAAATGTGCTCCAAAATCCACACTCACAACCACCTTTATTCGGGTCAATGAGGTTTGTTGCCCAGTTGTGAAATATTGGCAAGTGTCTGTCTGTGTGTTTAAATCCCTCTTCCATGTTTCAGTGGAGAAAGCATGTCCAAGGAGGAGGAATCTCATGGCGAGGGCATTGCCTTCAAAAGGGGGTCCATATGCAAACATACTCCTTGCTGCTTGAACATGCTGTTTTTAATTTGAATGGCATACTCTCTGCAAGGTCACTTGCAGCTTAATGCATTATGCTTAATGACATCATTGGGGGCTCCCCTTGTGACATCATCCGTTTTACATCACTGTGTTTTCTGTGACATCACAATGGGTCTCAGATTTGACCCCTGAATTCTCAGGGCCTGAGGCAGCCCTGACACAGGAACCCTGAAATTTCAATTTCAATTAAAGTCTTATCGGGAACGATAAATGTTCATATGGAGAGGAAACATGGAGGAATCGTCCAATATCCATATACTGACAGCACACGCTTCCTTTCCCAGATAGGCAGAACTCATAGCATGGTTCAGAAAATCCATCTTTTCCTAAATAGAAAAGCTGCAGTTCAAGAGGAAAGCTAAAGGGAATGAGACACAGAAGGAAAGCAGAGGAGAACGAGCAAAATGTGCCTTTTAGGGAAAGGATGATAGAGCATCATGCTAATGAAGTGCCTTTTGTGCCAGCCCTAATTAACAGATTGCAAGCAAAATGTGGAGCTAAGAAGCCCTTTAAGGAAGAAGGATGGCTCTAAAAGGCCGCATGGAGCACATGGGAAGAAACCTTCGAGGAGGATGCCGAAGCCGGGAGAAAATCAATCTGACCTCACATGAGTCGGGGCCAATTGGAGGGCAGTTAACAGCCACAACCACAATTGCACCACGGCTGCGTAACTCTGCAAGTGTGAAGTTGCACTTCATCTCATGAAGGCTGGAGCTGGGCTTGGCTTCAGAACTTCAGGCAGATCCTTTCAAGTTTGGACTAGAAGCTGGAGTGGACTTGCTGTCCAGCCACCAACAGCCACCAGGGGGAGCTCTCTGTCCACCAGTGGAGCCCCATTCTTCCCAGTCTGAGGATGCTCTGCTGCTGGTGGACCCTGCAGATAGGACTGCTGCACCAATGCGTGTCCTAATCCTCGTGACCTCTGACCCTTCCTTCTCCATGCCCTGGGAAAACTCATCCTTCCAGCCATGCAGCTTAACAGGATGGCTGCTTTAGAAGCAGGAAAAGGAGACAGGGATTGTGGCCGCAGCTTGGGATATGGCTCTAATTCCTGTAGAAATGTGTCTCCATGATAGACTTTTGCTTTAAAAAAAAAAAAAGTGGGGGGGGAGCAGCATTTCTCGCTTTGCCTTTTCTCCTCTTTTGATCCTTGAATAATCAGCTCTGCCGGCCGATTTAGCCTGGGAAATTAAATTAATTCTCTTGCTTGCTTTCCTCCCAATGTACGCTCTGCTATGAATTATTGAAACAGTTTTATTTATGCAGTTTGAATGCCCCCCCCCCCCGATCCCCAGTTTTAGGGAAGCAATTAAGTTTTGCCTCAGTTGCTGATCAGGAGCCGCCGTCGTTCAAGGCGGCCTTCCTTGGGTTAATTATCTGCCTTCCTTTCTTCCCTTCCAGGAGAGGACTTTTCTCCCCATAGTGAACCATGTGCCATGATGTGCCATCCATCTCAAAGGTGATGATGGCTTTCTTTTTCAGCCAAATCATGATGTTGGATGACCATCTGTCAATGGGGATGCTTTGATTGAGAGTTCCTGCATGGCAAAATGGAGCTGGACTGGATGGCCCTTGGGGTCTCTTCCAACTCTAGGATTGTATGTTCCTCCCCAGAAGCTGCAAGACTCCAGCTCCCAGCATTCCCCACCATAAGCTGTGCTGGGCATTCAGGTTGATGAGGAAAAGAAATGGAAAAATTACAGAAACTCTGAAGCTGGGGATGGGAAATCAGTTTACCTGCCATCTTTCCAGGACAAAAAAAAGCAGACATCGAACTGGTCTGCCCCGAAAGGGAATAACAAACACTCGGGAAGGGAGAAAAGCTTTGCAGCCAGCCTTGTGTCTCTTCTGGACCCCAGGATTTTCTTTCAAAATGGCAGAGAAAGAGCCACTGGCCATCTCTTGGGACAAAGGGGAAATGGCCTTCTGACCCTCCTGGTGAGCTGGGCTTTGGTCTGCTATTATGGTGGATGTTGAGGCTGGTGTTTTTGGGACGGTGGATCCACTCTCGGTTTTATGGACGCTCTTTCTGTGGCTGCCCCATTGCGCAATGTGTGAGACGTCCAGTTGCCAGACCCCATTATTCCCAACAGAGCTCCGCTCAGTGTTAGCTCAGCCCCATAGAGAGAGCTCTACTGTCTTTCCCGGTGTTCTTCCCATAATAATAATAATAATAATGTTGCCTTGCTTTGTTTCTTTAGCCATTGGGGTCTTCCCTCCTTAATCAGAATTGCTGCACACACAAACTCTCCATCTGCATCTGAGTCCAAATGCATCTGAGGAAGTAGGCTCAAGTCTACCAACTCCTCTCTTCCATTGGTCTCAAAGGTGCTGCAAGATCCTTTTGCAAACTACCTTTCAAGACTGTTTGACTTCTTTTTGAGTTAGAGGTGCCCTGGCTGGAAAGGGTTACCTGCATAAGGAAAAGTGAAAAGGATAGAGATATTTGATCAAATGGAAAGCCTTACTTTGTGGGGTTGGTTGGTGGGGGCTGCAGAGGGTAGAAAGCACAACAGAATAAAAAGAATATTTGAATGGCTTTCTCTCCTCTGTTCCCTCCTACTCTCAGCCTTCCTTTAAAAAAGAAGCAAAGGGAGTTGGTTTTTTCCTCTCTGGGTAGGTGTTGCTGCAGAGTCTTTCATGTAAAAACTTAAATGGAATCCAAAATGAGAGGGAAAATCTCACCGGACCCCCGGTGATCCTTGTGGCCCCCAATTAAAATGAATGCGGGCGCTCATCTGCGCAGTTGGTTAATGGGCCGGCAGCCCTGGCATTTGGGGGGAGTGGGGGGGGGGCAGAAGCTGTTCAGGTAAACAGCCAAAGACCCCCATCTGCCCCAAGCTGTCCTGGGCTTTGGGGGTCCCTACTCCATCCCCCCAGCCAATTTAGAAGGGGTCTTCCTCACTCCTCTCCAAACACGGCAGGAACAGTTAGCTCTTCTGTGTCTTCTTGACCCACTGTGGCTCCCCATGGACTGACTGGGAAGGCCCTGGAAGGCTTGCGGTAAAAAAGGGGAATCATAAAGGAGAAGAAGATGGAGATGGAGGTGGAGGTGGAGATGGAGATGGAGATGGAGGCCCTGGAAGGCTTGCGGTGAAAAA